AAGATTAAAAGTACGCCGCGGTTGGGATCACGGATGTGATCGCACCGCCTCTGTGCTCCAGTGGGTGGCCCAGGCAGTGCCCTGGCCCGGGCTGAACGAGGCAGGGGCTGCAGGAGAAGCGGTGGCTTGGTGGACACGGCGCTGGGCTGGGACCCAGGAGATCTGGCCCAGTTCCTGGTGCAGCCACAGACACTGTGTGATGGGATCTCGTCGCGGTTTTCAAAAGTGTCCTTCATTGTGCGGGGGGGCCTCAATCTTCAGGGTTCTCAGGCCAAGCGCCCACAAGCCGAGATGCCCACAGTTAGCGGAGACCTCTGCAAACGCTGGCCTCAATAGCGCTGGAGCCCTTGTGTTGGGGGAGCATGTAGGGCCCCCACCATAATCAGGGCCCTGTTGTGCCAGGCGCTGCATAAACACAGAGTGAAGAGACAGTACCTTCCCTGGGAGCTCACTGAGGAAAGTGACTGTGTCTGTGCCTCAGTTTCCCACTCTGTAGAATGGGAGTCTGACTCCCTTCTTGTGTGCGGCTCGGGGCCTGTGGTGCTGGGTGGTGCTGGGCACCAGAGACCAGCCAGTGAGTCGCTCTGTGCTCGGGGGGCTGGATGCAGTGAATGAGGCAGGGGCCACACATTGGCATATGAGGATCACAAGAACTAGGGATGTTCCTCCTCTAAAATAGGGACAACTGCGCCCAGACCTGCTTTGCAGTGACTCCAGGTGTGAATGGCACCTGGCTGGGGCAGGGACTGTCTCTTGGCCTTCCTCTGTTACAGGAAAAACCAAGGAAGTGAGTGCCCCACCCAGCGAGGGACGGGTTAAGGCCGCCGCTAAGCTGGGCTGTAAAGGGGTCATAGCTTAGATGGGAGACAGGGAAGGAAACCCAGGGGCTGTGGCAGGGGCCCAGCAGGGGGGGCACTCCCCTGGCAGTGAGATCTGGCCCCAAAGCCCCTGGGCAGCACTAGGGGGCGCTGGGCTGCAGGGGGTGGGTAAGGGGGCTCTGTAGGAGCCACTGTGCTGCCGGGGGCGGGAACCTGTCTCTAGGGTATCCAGGCTCAGCAGCTGGAGGGGGCAGGGCTCCCCCTGGCAGAGCGTGGGGGGCAGGGATTCTGTCCTGGCCCCACCCGTCCCAGCTGCCCTGTAGGGCAGAGGGGCAGGGCTGATACATGGGGACCAGGGTCGACTCATGGACAAATCTGCTTCATGTCTTTGCAGGGTAAGGACCAGCGCCGAGACAGAGAAGATGAGACCCCAGCTCTGCTTCCCACCCCAATCTACCTGCCCTAGGATTCAGGACTCCTGGGTTCTCTCCCTGGCTCGGGATGGGAAGTGGTGTCCAGTGGTTACACCAGGGGGGGCGAGGTAGGTTTTAATGTTGTATTTTTTAGTTATTTTCCTAATGATAGGTTGATTCTCATTAGTTGATAACCATTAGAAATGTTGATTTGCAACTAAATATAGTCTTAACACTGAATCTGGTGCTTTTTCTTTTGCTAACCATGATGGCAAACGATATCTATGTGCATTGATTGAAGCAGTTATATGGAGTCATTTACATTTCTTCAGTCTAATTTTTACATTTTGAATATGTTGGAAAATGGCAAATGATACATTTATTTCCTAGATTATGATGATTGTTTTACTTCTGATTTGTCCAAGCTCTGTTTGGATGAAAATTCAAATGCACTCAAAAATGCACAGAAACAGCATTTTCAATATGTTTATTAATTAAATAAAACTACTTTAAATGTGCTGAATACATCATAACAAAAAAGTGGATCGAAACGTATTTTTCATTTGAACCTAACTGATGTGAGGAGGTATCTGCAGTTAATGACATGAACTGATTGTTTTGTTATACCAATAAAAACTAGCAGGATCTTATTAAAGGGGACAAGATAAAGATGTCACATTTATTTTGATAACAATTTGATTTATGACCAATAACTAATATCTTAATCCTTATACACATACATTATACCTAATACCTATACACACACATACACACACACACACACACACACACACACAAACCCCATCAGATGTTCTGC